TTTAAAATACCCGTGGCATAGCTTTCAGAATCACAGCAACTCACAAGCCACCACAGTACAACAAACTGACAGATGAGTGGTGGAGGTCTTTTAATATTAGTAATAATAATAATAAAACATGGCAAAAATGCTTACCCATAATACATTAATGACCTCCATTTCCTCAAGAAAGAACAATATCAACAGCAGCAAAAGACTTAACCTTTTTCATTTGGAAAAACAAAGACGGGATTTCAAAATTGTCTGTCTCTATGAATGGTTATATTATTTTATGTGACACCAGAGGATATGCCCTCAACTGCAAGGTCCATTTGAACTGCAAGGTCAGCAGTTCAAACTCATCAGCTGCTCCTTGGAAGCCTTATATAGGTCACTATTAGTTGGAACTGACACAATGGCACTTAACAAGTTAAGTGGTGCTGAGGATATTGACAGATAAGTTTTCATTATTACATGTCTTAATGAACTTAATCGGCACTCTAGTTTTCTAGAAATTAAGTTTTATTGTCATACTATGAAAAAGTCTGATGATTCTCAAAACTGGTTGTGCATAAGAAAAAGAAGCAATTTAGAAACAAAAAATCCAAGGAAAATTGAACGAACACATAATGATATTTTTCCTAGAACTTTCTGAAGCCTCGTCATAGGTTCCTGTATGCTGCCTTCCTGAACCAGAATCTCCATACTTGTGGCCCAGGGATCTATATTTTTAAAATATTCCTCAGGTATTCTCATGTCTAACTAGATTTGACCACTCAGCTCTACCAAAGCACTACAGTTTTATTCATAATAGGATAAGCACAAGTTCCACAGTTCAAACCCACCAGCCACTCTTGGAAACCCTATACGAGGTCACTATGAGTCAGAACGGACTCGATGGCACACAGTAACAAGTGGTGTCCCGTATGTTGATTGGTCTTCTTTTGTTTTGTTGTTGTTTTTGTCATTATTAATATGGAATCTTTATAATCTAATGTGGAGCCAATGAGACTTTTACTTTTTGTTTTTGTTGTTAAGTGCCATCGAGTCAGTTCCGACCCATAGTGACCCTGTATAGAGGTTTTGAGGAGCAGTTGGTGAGCTTGAACCGCCGATCTTGCAATTCAAACGACTTTGCAGCCTGATGCATTATCCCACAATGCCACACCAGGACTTTAGGCCTGTTTAAATGTTTAATTTGATATAAGCAATCATTTCTAGAAAATCTAAATTGTTTTGAGGTATCTAAGCAATGTATCATTACAACTTTCTTTGAGAACCTTCAAATATTAACTTCCTTAATGTGGAAAGGACATTTATAAATTCATTGTAAGTAAAAGAAATAATTTAAAACAGGAATTAGAATTTCTGGTGTCTAATTTCCTCTAAATTACAAAAATATAAAGTTTTATAACTATGATAATTTGATAATTATATGATAAATTTCTCTTCATTTGGTGTTAATTGGCTTATTGAATATTTAATCATTCTTCTCCATTTCTCTAAGTAACAGATTGCTTTAATATATCCCACATTTCTATTTATATTCTATAATATCACTTATTTTCTGTATATATTAAGATACAATGTGATATAGAGCAAACAAGAACTATCACACATTAATTAATAAAATGTTTTTCTTATGTAGGTTCAAGCCAAATGTTACCAGCTTCTCCTCTCAGTCTTCCAGCATTCCAATCGTGCCCTCTCAACTCCCTATATTCATTCATTAGCTCCAATAGTGGTTGAAAAGCTAAAGGCGGTTGAACGAAACAGACCTACCTGCAACACTGAACTGTTAGCTGTTCAGGAAGGAATCAAAGTGCTTGAAACATTGGTTGCTCTTGGTGAAGAACAGAACAGTAAGTATTTTTATACTTATTAAAAAGTCAGTAGTCTAAAATGAAAATCTGTATTATACAAATCTCATTTGATATTAGACACAGGCTTTACAGCAGTTAAGTTTACTAAGAATTAATTGCTATCTGAAAGTACAATGTTTTTGTATGCGTGGTGTGCCACTATAGGATCAGCACTGTATTGTGAACCACAAGTTCAGCTGTTCAAACCCACCAGCTGTTCCCTGGGAACCATATATACGACGGTCACTATGAGTTGGAACTGATTCTAAGGCAGTTAGCAACAATGTTACTAACATAACACTCTGAGTTGTTTTATATGTGTTTTAATAAGCAGGAAGTTAAAACTGATTACTAATGGCTTTCAATACTAATTTTTTATTTTATTTTTTAGGAATGCATTTTTCATGAACTATAAAAAAAAGGGATGGTTAAAAATTTTTTACAAAACCAAAACATTCTGGTTGTTTTAGTAGAGGTACAAAAGTTTTATGATAAATACAACCAGATCAATATTAACATCCAACACTATTATATGGAGCTCAAAATTTTAATATTTTTTTATTTAATGAAAAACTAACTACCACGTAGATCAATTCAACTATAAACATATACAGCTTAATACCTACTTCTCTTTAGTCTCTGAGTCCATCTTGATTTTATCACAATTTAACATTTGATTGTAAAATGTAACTTTTTAATTGTTGCCTAGAGACAGTACTTTTAAATCTTGTGTTCTATGATTAAACTGTTTCCAGTGTTTCAAGATCATAAAAACTTAGAGATGAACATCCTTATACAGAAATCTTTGCATGCGTTTTTCATTATTTCTACCAGATACGTTCCTAAGAATAAATTTACTGAGTCAAAGGAAATGCTCATTTTAAAAGCATTGTATGTTTATTGTTCCTCATTCCACATCCTCTATATGTTACCAAAGTGCTCTCTAGGTAAAAATCATTATCAGGTTTTTCTATCAAAAATATTTTTCTCTTTCCTTGGAAATTCACGGGAAATAGGAAATACGGTAGAGATTTTGAAAATTATTACAATAATTTCCCTGGTAAGTAGTAACTTAAAACCAGTGAAAGAAAAGAATGCAGACATGATTTTGAGAAAAAAATCAATTGTCTGACTTGATAAGTAACTGGCTGTAGGGAGCAAGAGAAAGGGAACAGCCAGATAGCACATTGTTACTTAGAGGAAGGACAGAAGCAGAACCAACACAGGCAAAGTCAGGACGGAGAGCTGTTTTAAAGCAGTGATTTGAAAGTTAAATGTTAGTGGACTATCTGGGTAAAGTCTTTATGATGACATCATGGCCTATATTTGGGAACTCATTGTATTATTTTGCTCACTTGATTTTAAACTTTATAAAGAAAAGGACCAACTCCTATTCATTTTAAAATTCCAGTGCAAAACGTACTGCTTTTTTGCATAGTCATTAATGAAAATATGTTTTAGTTGCATGAATCCTTGAGATCAATTTCTAAACAGGTCCTCTAATTTATCATTGAAACTAGAATCTATTTACTTTTTTTTAAGTTTTTATTATGAATTAAGTGATAGTTTACATGGGAGAATATGGGTTTTACATTCATCGTTTTATTGCAATGATTACAGTCTCCTCTGTGCATCATCATTCAACAGTATTAGTTTCTATTCCCTCTGTTTTGTTTTGATTTTTTGGCGGGGTGGAGATGTACACAAAAATACTCAGGAATATAAAGTCATTTAAACAACCAAAAGGCACATTCTTCAAGCCTGCCTCCTGGCCGCCAATACACAACCTTTCTCTTTCCATGAGTCTAGTGTCCTCAGCTGCTCTAGCCCTCCATGTCCACATCTCTGTCTCTATTTCTGGTGTTGCTGCTTCTCTGGATAGGGTTCCACATTCTGCTTGTTCTCTTCTCCCTTGATGTGCCTAGGGTCTTCTTTTGTTGGACTGTAAGATTAACCACTCTGCCCTTTTTGTTACAAAACTTCTACCTTTACAGTTGTGACAGTCATCCGTTAGTCATGATAACAATTACTCAGTTACTTCTTATTTTCAAAATTTAACTTTTGTAATTGTTGTGCCCCTTAAGGTCAGCGGTTCGAAACTACCAGCCACTC